CTGATCTGTATACGGAAATTGTTGGAGAAAATGATTATTTTTCGTCTAGACAAATGGGTCGAGTCGAATGGTTTACCTTCGGATATGCAATTTAGATTTCGGAGAGGCAAAGAAACGAGCGACTGTCTTGCGTTGCTTTCAACTGAAATTCAACTGGCCTATGCGCAAAAAACAGCAAATGGGTTCAGTTTTCTTGGACATTAAGGGGACTTTTGATTCTGTTTGTATCGACGTCCTTTCGGATAAACTCCACGATAGTGGGCTTTCACCAATTATGAACAACTTGTTTTCTGAGAAATATATGAGCTTCTCTCATGGAAACTCGACAACTTCACGAATTAACGTTACATGGGTCTCCCCCAGAGCTCATGTTTAAGCCCCCTTCTTTATAATTTTTTATGTAAAAGACATTGATGGTTGTCTTGATGAAAATTGCTCGCTAAGGCAGCTTGCAGATGACGACGTTATGTCCGTTACAGGGCCAAGTGCACCAGACCTGCAAGGACCATTGCAAGATACCCTAGACAATCTGTCTACTTGGGCTATGAAGCTGGGTATCGAATTCTCTCCGAAGAAAACTGAGTTGGTTGTTCAGCTTCAACTAAAGGGTAGAACAATCACTCAAAGTATATCTTTCAAGTATTTAGGTGTCTGGTTCGATTCCAAATGCACATGGCGAAAACATATTGCGTATCTGAAATAAAAATGCTAACGAAGATTCAATTTTCTTCGTACAATTACTTTAACTTGGTGGGGAACACACCCGAAAGATCTGATCAGATTGTACCAAACAACCATCTTGTCGGTTCTAGAGTACGGTAGCTTCTGCTTTCAATCCGCAGCAAAAACACACATCCTGAAGCTGCAACGGGTTTAATACCGTTGCCTCCGAATCGTGCTTGGCTGTTTTCACTCGACGCATACGATGAGCCTCGAAGTAATCGCGGGTGTTCTCCCACTGACAGATCGTTTCGCGGAACTGTCCTTCCGGTTTCTTATCCGTTGTGAAGTAATGAACCCATTGGTAATAGAAAACTTTGAGAAGCTGCTCGACCGAAATCCTCAAACAAGATTCATGAGTTTGTACTATGAGTACATGACGCTGGAGGTTGGTCCTTAATCATTAATCTCCAATCGTTATTGCTTTCAAGCCTTCTTTAGTTCCTCTGTAAATTTTGATTTGACCATGATGCAAGAAATCCATGGAATTCTAGATCACCATCGGTCGATGGTTGTTCCCTCAATTTTTGCAATCAAGTACCACCATGTAAGTAACGATAAAAGTTTTTTCACAGATGGGTCAACCATAAATGCTTCCACTGGATTTGGTGTATTTAATCAATTTCATAGCGCCTCCTACAAACTGCAAAAACCCTGTTCCGTATAATGTTGCGAAACTAGCAGTTATATTCTACGGAGTAGAGCAAATTGCCTCACTACCTTCTGACCATTATTTCACTTTTACGGATAGTCTTAGCTCATTAGAGGCTATCCGTTCAATGAGGCCGATGAAGCATTCCTCGTATTTCCTGCCTGAAATACGATCTAAACTGAGTGCTTTATCCAACTGCTTCTATACTTTCACCTTAGCTTGCGTCCCATCTCATTGCTCAATTCCGGGTAATGAGAAAGCGGACTCATTGGCTAAGGTGGGCGCTATGGAAGGCGATATTTTTGAGCGACAAATTGCCTTCAACGAATTTTTCTCCATTGCTCGTCAGCAAGTCCTCATCAGTTGGCAAAAAAAAATGGAATGATGGTGATTTAAGAAGATGGTTACATTATATTCTCCCACAGGTGTCAACAAACCATCGTTCAAAGGGTTGAACATGAGCCATGACTTTATACGCGTTATGCCAAGGCTTAGGTCCAATCACTGTTCGTTTGACTCGCACTTCTATCGAATTGGGCTCTCAGGCAGCAATTTATGTGCGTGTAATAGCCAGCAGAACAATCATCAAACATAATATTACCATTGGAATTGCTTTGAGCAATATTCCATGAGCGGTGTTTTGCATTAAAATCACAAATTATGAACAATTTAGACCTATGACGGGTAAGTTTCTGAAGGTCACCCTTGAGCAAATTCTTTTGCTGGCCTACGCATTGGAATGGCAAATAGGCAGCTTTAAACGTAAGTTGTCCAAATTTTGTTTCAACAGAAACTCCCAAAGTTTCAAAAACTTTGGTTTCAAACAAAGAAAGAATTTTATGTTTGATTCGTCTATGAACAATGATGACAACGCCACCACAGGGTCCATCAAGACGATCATTTCTATAAATGAAATAATTAGCGTCCCTCTTAACCTTATGGTCAGGTTTCAGTTATAATGGCAATATGCACGTTACGAACTCTCAAAAATTTAAATAGCTCATCTTCATTAACTTTAAGAGATCGAGCATTCCAATTTAAAATATTTAATGCTGAATTTCAAAGTCATGACAATATTGTTTGCAAATTTTACTTCAGTTTGAATAGCATCAAACATGGAGTTAGATTTAAGCATATCAAAAATCATGTCAATTAATGATTTCTGTAAAAATTCCTTTTAAGGGGCAGTGGTGCTTTCTAAGTCAAAATTGTCGAAATTTCCGTTAGAATTACGTGGGTTAGTATTTTGATTTCTACCCGTTGCATTAGCAGCATAGGTAGCTCCATTGACTCGCTGAACATTGTTAGCAGCGAGGGGAGTAGGTATAGACGAAAAATTTGAAGCAGAGGTAATACTTGTACCTATTGGTACGAATGTAGAATTTGTTCCTCGCTGACCGTTGTTAACAGCAGAGGAATTTGTACCTGGTCAGGAATATGGAGCGTTTCCTAGCTGTCGATTAAAACGAGATTGTAGGATCACTTTGCGAGTCTTACATTCCCAAAAATTGGATTTGTGGTTTTCACCACAATTTGAACATTTAAATTTCTTAGGATCTTCCTTCACAGGACAGGCTTTGCGTGAGAAGAATCACCACAATTCATGCATTTAGCTGACATGTAGCAATTTTTAGTGACCCCATCCCCGGCACTTACGGCACTGGGTTAGGTTTTGGAAATTTCCTCCAGTCTTCCTGAAGTTTCCACTTCACTCGGACATGGAGCATAAGGCTAGCTTTTTCTAAGGCCTTAGGGTTGTTCAGTTCACTAGACTTGAAGTGATTAAAATAAAAATCATTAGAAATCCCGTTGCGCGAATCGCCAGGACGGGATTTAATTTTCATTTTGATTACTTGGAGTAGCACAACTCCAAGTAATTTTGCCATCTTTGATCTGATCCAGAGATTCACCACTGGGCAGTCCTTTCATGACAACCTTGAACACACGTTCAGTTTTTATGCCGAGAGTTTAAAAAAAAATGTGCTTCTTCTCAGTAAGATACTTGAGAAGACATTTAAATCCGTCCAAGGTTTCAGCCAATACACGGCATTCATCCCGACGTCCAATTTGTAGTGAAAACTTAACTTTCACGAAGTTCAAAAGTTCCATGCGAAGAGCATGGAAATCGGAAGTGGTTATCACAATAGGGGGAATCTTTTCCTTTTAGGCATTAAGCCGGGAAAGTTTACAAGAATTTTTCTTGGATGATGGATCATTTTCATCATCCGTGAGTAAATCAAATTGATTACTCAAATTAATTTCATCAGAAGGGGGATCAAAAGTTTGCCCCTTTCTTTTGCGCGTAGGCGCCATGGCGGCAGTAAATTTTTATCCAAATCGACTTCCAAGCAGATTACTATAAGAATCTGAAGGATCGAAGAGGAATTTTGCAAATCGATATCCAAGAAGGATTACCTCGGGTAGGGTCCAAACAAGGATCGAAGAGGAATAAGAGTTGAACAAGGTAGACATTTTTTTTTACAGGTTGAGCACTGAAAGGGCTGTTTAAATTTGTTGTAGTTTTAGGTAGTAGTAACACTTCCTTCAGCGAAAAGAAAATAGATCCGCACGGCAAGAGACCACGATGCGGACTACTGCCATCCTTTTGTTACAATTTTTTACCCCTAACCTCAAGATAGCTGCGAGTAATCGGCGCTCGCTTTACTAACGTTAGTTTCAAGTAATTTTGTAATCTAAACAATGAATATCGGCTCCGCAAAGCTACAGCAAATGATCCTGGAAAATTAAACGCATTATAAAAAAAAAAATAATTGCCCCTAGCGAATAATTAGGCGAAGTTTCATATCAAAGACTTCAAACGCGTTGAAAACACGTTGTGTACTTTTAATATCATGAAAGGAAACATTTGGCATTTAGGCAGCGAATATATTGAAATTAAATGGAATTGAGCGCATCGTGTAAATTTTCTTTTTTAATTTATGAACGATTTCTGTTTGTTACATCATTACATTCGTATTTTGGTATGTTCTAGGATATTGTGATTGCGCTGTTGAAATAATTGTTTGCTGTGAAGTCGTGTAGCATAAATTATACTGCTGAAATTGTTTGCATTTACTTCCACATGTTTTATTTGCTAACGGGCTATTTATTTGACGAATGACTACATTTGCTAAAGCTTATACCGAGCTGAACCGAAATCCGAACCCCTGAAAAATGGCTGGAAATCTGTAAACGCCTACCTCTAGAATATTTTTTTCATGTGTGCGAATTTCGATCCCGTAATGAAGTAGGTAGCATACGCAGCACAAAAAGCAGGATTTATTTGAAAAGTAGAAGTTAATTTTGACTTCGCTTCGTAATGTCCCCGTTATACATATTTGATTTACTTGATCAAGTTAACCTTTTTTTCCGAGCATCGCAAATTGCAATCAGGAGCAATCTGAAAAGCTCCATCATTATTCTTAATCATGATGTAATAGCATCGTAATGGAAACTAACAGAACCGGATCTCGACAACGCAAGTGTCACTGGCAGTAGTGTGACATGGACAAGACAAAGTATGTAACCAGCTATAGGAAAAGAAAAAAAGTGAGGGAGTAAATGACCAGCTCAGCAGTGGCACCTCTGCCAGCAGTCAGCAGAACAAGCAGCAAAAGTGTAAACTTACCGGTATCATTATCCTTGGCCTGCACCTTCAGTATTGCCGTACCGAACTGGGCCCGCTCGGAAACGGTGATGTTGTAGCTATCCTGCTCGATCTCCGGTGGACAGTCGTTGACGTCCTGCACCAACACCGATACCGGCACTTCCGCCGACACGCCGGAAACGCTGTCCGTTGCTCTAATTAAAAGTTCATAACTTTGCTTCTGCTCGTAGTCCAGCTCGTCTACCACGTAGATCGCACCTGTGTAAATGGACGGTGCCATGGTTCACGGGATAATGATGATATTGTTTGTTGGTTGTTGTTGGTGTTTTTTTTTTCCACCAGCGTGTACCCGGTTCCGTGCCGAACGGTGGTTTCGTTAATGTTCCGGAACAGTTGTTGAAAGGAGGAGAGAGAAAAAGAAGAAATATATGGAGGATTAACAATTTATGATATTATTAAAATTTTAAACCCACGCCATCGGGCAGTGCAAGTTAAACAGTGTGCTGACTTTATGAGCTTTTGATTTTTCCCTCCTGCATTTCGGTGCAAATGGTGTTAGCAACAGTGTAAGTAAAATGTTTCACTTTGTAGCAAGCGATAAACTATCGGAGTGGATTTTAGAAAAATTAAACGGCAAAAAGATTCATGCAAATTAGTTCGTACATAAACAACGATGATGGATATGATAGCAAGCGATATGTGTCTTTTGCGAAATAATTAATTTTCCAAGATTCATTGGTAATTTAGACTGATTCCAACCGGTTTTTTTTATTAATTTTTTAGAACGGTTGAAAAATTGCGATACAAAACTCACCTTATTTTAGTAATCAAACAATCTTTTCCAGCTGAAACATAATTGAAAATCAGCTTCCTAGATTAGTCCGCGTCACTCACAATGCACTTTTGCGGAACGCAAGCCCGGAATTGGTTAGCTGATAATCAAAATTCTAATTATGCGAAATTTCTCACCCTTTTGCACAAATTGCGGTTTTTCTATATGTGGTTTACATTGGATTTGAATCCGCTTACCTTTTCCCACCTTGCACACACGTACATATCCACTGCATGCTCATGATTAAACAAGTAATCGTAATTGGAATTTGTGGTAAAACTAATAAAGTAGATTCGAGCATTGAAGTCAAACCGTTTGTATGTAAACTGGAGCTCCAAATTTTCGCACCATTATTGTCCTGCTATGGCCAATGGGGGCGGAGGATTAAGTGGGAAAGGTATCGGTAAAGTTGCCCAAAATTGACCGCAAATCACGTTTCACAATTATGCGCTCAAACGGGCGAACGCATTCGTAATCAGGTAAAACTCGACAGCAACTGGCAGATTAGGTTTCGGTTGGTTTTGTGGTGGGTGTGGGAGGCTGTGACTACAATATGTAGCGCAAACTGTGAATAATTTCGTGTGTAGGGAATTTACCGATGGTCAAAAAACAATAACATTATTCGATTTGGGTTCGTGATTATCCAGTGGGTTAAGGGTTAGTTGAAACAATTGGGTGGGTGACAAAAATGTAACGAAGGTTACAGTAATCATCCAATTTCAGACTAAAGCTCTGGGGATGATGATGATGATTATGAACCTTTTACCACTGCAAAGCTTTGAGCTGGACGATTTATCTTTAAGATAAGTAAGCATAACATTTTAACCAGATAAGCAAACAAAAACGATATGGTTACAATTACAGATATAAATTCCCTCTACAGTTTACATGTACTTTACAGCGACATAAATGTGCAAAAGCTTAGTGGTTCACCTATTTGTTCATGTTTTTCCACCTCACATATTAAAAAAAAACTCCCAGTGATCAAGAGTTCATGAATAACAAACAAATCAGCCAGTGCACAGTGGTACAGAATGCAGATTTAGGTGGAATGATATGTTTTGAGCCTGAAATTGAAACTTTAGACTAAAAGTCTCTTCTACAAAGTTATTCCTTATAGTTAGGCCCTCATTTTTATGACAATGAATTCTAGGGTGGTTCCTATTATCATTAAAATCAAAAATCTAACTTTTTTGTTTGAATAAATTAAGGTATACATTTTTCGGCAAAGTTATAGCTGAGCTAATTTTAAGCAACTTTGTTGAAAATAACTTTTTTGTATCTCTTAAATTGGCCGATTTACAGCTATTTTCTTGAATTGAGTTAGGGTGGCTCTTAAAAAAACAGTTTTTTTGCTCTTTTTTTTTATTTCGAATTTCTCAGCAAAGGTGTCTTCAGATAACTTTTAGATCTTAAGAAGGCGCAAATTTTTGCTGCACAAAGCTTGTCAATATCTTTCGCCGATCAAGAGTTATTGACGTTTTTATACTAAAAATATGCACTTTTCAAATGTTAATATCTCTGGTTGGGGCAAACAAAAAAAAAGTTTTTTTGCAGCATTTGAAAAGGCGTATGTTATTCTCAATAATATGAAAAAATTGGAGGTATGTTATTTTTTAAACTCGTATAAAATCAATTTGAATTTATTCATATTTTTTACTATATTTGAGTATATCTTTTTTATTAGAAGAGATACAGGCAACAAATTCAGGTATAAAACATTCGTCTTAAAGAGTTTTAAAATGCTCTTGAAGAAACTTTCATGAGAATTTTCAAATAAAAAAGTTATTAATAAAAAAGTATACATTAATTTATTCAAACAAAAAAGTTAGATTTTTGATTTTAATGATAATAGGAACCACCCTAGAATTCATTGTCATAAAAATGAGGGCCTAACTATAAGGAACAACTTTGTAGAAGAGACTTTTAGTCTAAAGTTTCAATGTTAGGCTCAAAACATATCATTCCAGCTAAATCTGCATTCTGGACCACTGTGCAGTGGTGGCAGGGGGACACCCCTCACCATCCCTCTCCAAAGGGGGAGTTTGATAAAGAGAGATGATAAAACCGATTTGTACCTTCCTATAAAAGTTGTCCTAGCTCGCAATTTTCACACTGCCGTAATCTAAACGAAACTATCATTTCTGTACTTTCATCTCATCCTCATCTATCGTATAAAAATTACCACTTAAGTCTGTTATTTGAAATTAGTATCTTGAACTATATAAACAAATCATCCCTTTACACTAGCAACCCCGAAATATGCTACCATAACAGTGCCGTATTAACGGTAGGGTGATGAAGGGCTAAAGCTATGGCCCCCAATTTGGAGAGGGCCTCCAGCTCAGAAACATCAATCATATCCTTTACAATAATATGTTTCAACCAATTAATCGTTGTATCGAACATTCAAGCATTGAAAACTTGAAACAATAAATCATACCAGTTGATAACATGATAAGATCAATACAAACTCTCACATATACTGTCCAATTTCAGAAGAACACCTAGAATGCACTCGATTTTATCTTTTAAATAGAGCGGGAAAGTTGTACAAGTTGTACATGTTTTCACATTTTTTTTTTCGTATGTAGCTGAGAGCCTAGCATTGCGATATTTTGGGGATGGGATAAGATGGAGTAGCCAGGTGGAAGGCAATCTACGCAGAATTTCGCAATAATATATTGGTAATCCGTTCTTGCAGCATCTGCATTGAACTGTTTTCTGTAATGTTGACTTCGGTGAAATGTTGATCGAAGGGTGTGTTTTTTCAATACACTATGACTAGAAAGTCATATTTTTTATTAACTTGTTCATCTTCTTCTTCTTTGCATTTCAAGATTATTGCTTATCGCACATATAAGCTTTTTGCGTGCTCTCAACTAAGTGTTCTAGATGCACTTCCACATGTCTGTTCTACCATTTTTGCATTGGTATAATTATGTGGCAAGGACAATCATACTATATGCATGGAAAGTTTTTAAAATTCTTAAACTAGACTAGGAATCGCTAGCCACCTCTAGCATGGTCTAGCTTTGTAGCTACGTCTTTACCGACTGAGCTAAGGAAGGTCCTTATTAACTACTACTGTTAAATATAAAAATCCACCAAAACCATCGTGACGAACAAAGTAGTTTTTTGCAGTGCTACAATAATAATTAAAAACTCGTTATGACAGCTATCCATACAAAATGATGCGTTAGAGATGGTTTCGTCATAATACATATATAATTTGCCAATTCATTAAAAAACACTAGACAACTTAGTTGGAGATGCCTAACGTCAAATATCAGACTTAAAGTAGTCATTTTATACGATCGATAAGGAAATGAACCCAAGTAACCAAAAGTTCTGATAAAAGGCTATGAGGTTTAAGTAGCTTGGTTGAAGGTGGTCTGTAGAATTTTAAGCAGCTTCATTTTTAAGTCGTTGCAAGAACTAGAAATTGAAGAGCATTCTAAGAAGCTTCTCGAGGAACTTGAACGGCACTTTTAGTAAATAAGTTTAAAAAAGGTCTTTGTCCTCTCCACCAATTTTACGCACTTTTAGGACAGTTATTTCTAAAGCCAGGTATGAACGTGTATTGATTAATCAGCATTAAAAGTAGTATTAGAGCTGTTTGACGCGTGAGAGCCCCAGCACAAACCACTACGCCATCTGATACATATATCAGGCGTAACATTTGATAACGGCACAAAAGCTTTTGTAAACCAACTTTTTAAGGCCCTTTACACGCACACTACGAAAAAGACATGTAAATTTCAGTACCCTGAGACCGACACATGCAAGCGGCCCTTTTGACATAAGAATCAGTTGAAAAGGACGAAAAAATCAATTCAATCAAACGCATTTTTTGTCAAGTTGCATATGTTTCAGTTTCAGGACATTTAATTTTACATGCTATGTTTGTTTACGTTCCATGATTTACGTCAAAGCTGAATTACGTCCCATGTAAAAAATAATAATTTCTAAGTGTGCGGGAACCGAAGTACGCTCACGCAAACCAACAACATCATCGGAGGTTCGCGTGCAAAGGGCCTTAGAAAGTTTGTTTACGAATGGTTTTGTGCCGTTACCAAATGTTAGGCCTGATATATAAAAGTGAGCTGTTATCTCGCCTAATGTTGGTGTTTTCAGTGCCAGCTGACTGATTTGAATACGAAACATGACACTTTGATGGACTTTAAATTGTTTTTTGTCCGCTTGGTATTCCAACACACTTGTGGCGCAGGGGTTTGCGTTCGTAGATCGCATTCCGAATACACGAATTATTTTTTTAATGTTTCGGTAGAATATTGATGCATTGCATAAATATAAGAATTATCATATATTTGAGCCATTGATCATTTCATATTTACGTACATGAAATTTTGTTACTAATAAAGACTTGTGCGGATTGTTTCATGTGCGTTTTGATGGACCTTTT